GTTTTTAGAAATAGTTTTTGTTTAGTTAATCTCTTTGGGCGTTTGGAAAATAGCCTACAAAATAATATTTTAATTTTTCTTTTATGCAAAATTTTTGTATACATAAAAAATAATTTATTTTCTTTATATGTGTTTTATTAAGATTTTTATAAATTTAAAATTTTTTATGTGACAGTTTGGATGTTTAGTTAAATCATTTGTACCACATGCGTATTTATTTTTGCGTAAATATTTTCGTATTAATTTTAAACGTCCGAGCTCTTGTGATGTCCATAGTTAATGTTGTTCTCTTTCATTTATTATATATTTAATTATTTTTTATTAAGATTTAGATTTTTAATATATTTTATTTTGTTATTAATTTAACAAATTTTATTCTTAAAAAGGTTATAATTTTGTGGTTTGTAGACAATAATTTTAAAAACATTAATATATTTAAAGACTTTTCACTATATTTATGTATTAATTAATTAATTTATTTTTTATGAAAAACTACAACTGATAAATAAATGAAACTGAATTTAAGAGAGTTCTGTTGAAATTGAAATAATAATGATAGAAACTCTATTGAGATTCACTGGGTATTAAGAATGGACGGCAACATATGATATAGATTAATAAACATTTATATAAAAGATCAGGTAAGCGTTAGTCGATTGTGAAATTTGGAAAATGTAGGAACGATGGTAATACAGATGGTAATACAGATGGTAATACAGTAGTAAACAATTGCATCTCTTTGAATGTAACTTATAAAAGGATCTTAAAATGCAAGTCTAACATATTTTTTGTATTAATATTGATCTATTAGACAACACAAAATTTTAATATGCCAAAGATACACTCAAAAGAGGTCACCTTCAAAAGATTATAAGTTAATCATAATTCATTGCCATGTAATATTGTGAACCACATTCGTTAATTTAAAAATAATATTCATTAACTTATATTTACTTCATGTTATTAAAATTTAATTCTATAAGATATTTTCTACTTATTTTGCAAAATTACTAAATAAATTTAGTTTATTAACCCATTATAGCTTTTTAATGAAGGAGATAATAAGCCGTTCATTGTATCTGCAAACGCAACCTTGTGCGCTTTCTCCGGAGTGTGTGTGTACAGTTTTAATGGTCATTTGTGTTTTACTTAATTACTTGCATATTAAATTCAAATTTAAGTAATAAACTTTATAAGAAATTTTTATTTGAAGTACATAAAAATTTTTATAGATTTGCTTTATGTTTTCACATTTAAATGGACGAATCGATGTTTGTCGAAATAATTACCCAGTTTTTCTGGATTTTTACGGATATTAATTTGCATATCCATCAATAAACTTTTAAGTATACATTTCATTGAATTCAAATTATCAATGAATTTAAGATAATCAAAAGCAAATAAATTACTTTTAATAAAATAAAAAAATTAATAATTAAATAAATTAAAATAAATTAAATATCTGAAATGCGTCGGGGGTTCATAAGAAACAATGGCTTATAACACGTTATTCAATACTGAAATGGTTTAAGTTTCATAAAATTAAGAGGAATAGTCAGGTGAGAGTAATTTTGGCAGAAACTCAAAATCGGAATATACATAATGTATTAAATTTTTAGATTTATAATATAAAATAATTAGAAATAAAACATTATACACCAAAAACAGAATATTCTATGTATACCTATACTGTGCATAACCCCACTGGACTATATTGAGAGGTTAAGAGGTAACATTATAGGTATTTAAGTTAAATAAAAAATATATCATTTTATCAATTTTATTACTGTTGTAAATTGAAATTTCTTTTTATGTTTTGTTTTTCATAATTTCTTATAAAATTTATATTCCATAAAGTTGATCGAGAAGTTCCAAAAGTACGGATTTTATAATTAGCTAACATTCAAGGAGGATGAAAGGAGTATAAAAGTATACAGTACGTCTTCAACAGATCTATATGCGTCAGTGTGATTCCATAACGAACTAATTTAATATAAATTAATCGGTTTTATAATTGCTAAAATCTAATACAGCAAAGCTAAACGTAAATGTGGGAAAATAAGGAATCCAATAAAAGGTCTTATAGGAGGAGTGAATAGTCCTATTATTAATGAAAAGATAGGTCATTGAAGTAATTTCAACAAAAAAAACATGTTTAGTACTTAAATTAAGATTATATTAAAATGGAATTTTCAATTTTCCCATAAAAAAATGCTATATATGTTGAATTAATTCATCGGAATATATATTTCCTTTTCAATATATAACTCTTTAGTCAAAATCAAAGCTATAAAACATTAGTCAAGCCAAATATCGATATTTGTGGATGTATACAAGATTACTTAGAGGTCTAAGAAGTACCTCATTGTAGTAAAATCAGGAAGCCAAAAACGTTATTATGAGAGGAATGAAAAATCTCACAATTAAATGAAATACAGGTCATTGAATTAAATTTTCAGCAAAAAAAAATGTTATTTATAATAAATTCTTGAATTAGAAGTATATTAAAAGGTATCTTAAGTTACCTTCTAAACTTCAATCTTCAGAGTCCTCGTTAATTTTTAAAAATCTTTAATATGCTTCAAATAAATTTATTGTAGTATAAGTTTCATTACCAATAGGTAACGTACCAGTGGAAACGTAGATTATAAAAGTTAGACAAGCAGTATATCAAAGTGTTTTTATTGTGGGTATATTGAAGGCTACTTAGAGTTGTAAGTAGTGCATTTTAGTGCTTGAGGAAATAGCGGACTAATAAACATAACCTCCATTGGTGATCTGACTCTTTTCGGTCATGCAGCGAGACAATCAGATATCTTGGAACGATTGCAGGTAAATATAGATGAGAGGAAAAAGAAAGGTGTAGAAAATAAAGAAGATAGCTACCCCAAAGAAGGCAAAAAAAAGATGTAGAAAACAAGGAATATCCTATACAAAGTAGTTTGATTTATTACAACCTTCGCTTGAAAAAACGTTAATGAAATCGATCATTTTACAGACTAAGCTTAAACAAAATAGAGTAACATAGCGAAAGAAGAAGCAGTTCTGAAATTTCGTTTTACATATTAAAGTATTATTCCTCAAAAAAGTCAACCTAATAAATATTAAGGAAGTCTGAGTTCTGCACTGAAGTTTGCATGTCTCTGTATGATTCTTTAATATAAACTTAGGGTGTAACTATCTTATGTACAAGCAATAAAAGCATTAATATATTATTGTCTTCTGACATCTTCTCCTTATCATACCTTCATTCATTTGTAATCGATAAGCCATAATTTAATTCAATTAATAAAGTAAGCTGAGTGTCATATCGGTTTGCGTGCAAGTAAGAACTTTACCTAACACAATAAAAATTACTCCTTTGTTTTCTTTGCTACCGCAACCAAAGTAACAAAAACTAACTTCCTTAAGGCCGAAAAGAAGCATAAAAAATATCTGGAAAAATTCATTTTTCACGTTGCTCAACACTGGCACGTTCGGATTTCATATGAGGGGGAAAATATCCAACCATAGTAAAGAGAAGGAAATAAAGCATTAAATAATTTAAGCCAAAAGGCGTTGCTTATTTATCAAATTCTGTATATAAGCAGAAGTTAAGCTTAAATATTTGACTTCGTCAATTATAGCAACAATAACAACTACATTGAGCAAAGAAATAAAAACGAAAACAAAAAATTAAACAAGAGAATAATAGCAACTTTAAAAGCAACTTTACAATAATAATTCAAACAAGAACAAAAATCAGCATGAATTGCAAGAAAATGTCACTCAAGCAAAAAATATTTAAAATAGCAAAAAAAAATGTAACAAAAAGAAAAAAAACAACAACAAAAACAGCAACAATAAAATAGAAATTATAAGGAATTGGCAGCAGCAGCCAAAATATTTTTGTTAAGCTTAAATTTATACCAATAACAACAATAAAACTACGAAATATTATACAACAAAAACGAAAAAGAAAAAACAAAAAAGATGACAACAGAACATTAAGCACAACAACAAAAACCAAAACAGGAAGAATGAATGAAACTTTGAACAGAATTAATGGTAGGAAAACGAAAACTTTATTGGGGAAGCTTGACAATTCGCGTGCAATAAGACTAACAAAGCAGACATTAAGCACAGAAGTTGGTGTTGTTGTTGTTATTGTTGTGGCATAGGGAAGTGGCAAGGCTTTGGATTAAAATATTTGTTTGGTAGTTGGTAGTAAAATGAAGCAACAACAATTGTTGTTACGTAGAGATAACGTACCAGTTTGAAGCATTAATAGTAACAACAACAAAGCAACAAACTGAAAATAAATGATTTGCCAAA